CGGCCGAGCCGCACCCGACTGTCTGGTTTAGCGGACCGGTTCAGTCAATATTTTTTCAGTTTCAGTCCCGGTTCTCAATTTCAGTGTCATTTTCAGTTAAATTCCGGGTCTAATCAGTTTAGTTAAATTAATATCAGTTCAGTTTCGTACTTAACCGGTTTCAGTTATACCGATTAAGTCTTAATATCGTGTCAGGTTCAGTAGAGCATCTTAACATAATTAATTTGTTAATTTATCAGTCTGAGCATAGTCAGTAGTAATTGTTTATATTATTTTCAGTTTGATCAGGCATCAGCACTAACATTCAGTTTCAGCAGTTCAGGTGGGGACTCAGACTAAGTACTACATTGATTATAATTACGCTACCATGTGTTGAGGTATGTATTATCAGTATCCGCTCGGAATGGTCGCCGGTCCATTCTGGGTTCTAGTGGCCTAATCTGCCCACTAGAGTGTGCACATGGTCCGGTATTAGTTTGTGCCGGCAGATTTCGGTATTAGTTTCTGCCGACAGATGTTCAGTTATCAGTTACGTGACATGTCACGAGATCAGACCGGTATCAGATATCAGTTTCAGTTTCAGTTTTAGTTCAGTTATATATGCCAGGATCATGATATTGTTATTATTTTCAATGTTTACATTAGTATGAGTTTCTGCGGAGCACAAGTGTTTTAGTGCTCACGCCCCCACGCATTTCATGTTTTTCAGGTCGCAGGGTCGGAGACGAGGAGTGAGCTGGCGGGTAGTTCAGGATATTTATGGATATGTATATATATGTCTTGGCCACGCTGTTATTCTGCTAAAACTTTCAGTACTTTTGAACAACTTTTGATCCGACTTTAGTCGCTTAATAAATTATAACCGTTTTCATTATCAGTTTAAAAATCTAACGGTTTTCAGAAAAGTCAAGTTTTTCACGGTAGCACTCCGAATCAGTTTTCGCAAGAATTAATATTTTATTTAATTATTCAGAAAATTTGCGAAAAAGGCGTACTTTGAGTTCAGTAAAAAGTCGGGGTGTTACATGTTCCCTTCCTGGATTACTTTGATATCTCGCTACCATGCCAACAGCGTAGCTAATATCAGGCCTAGTGCACAGCATTGCATACATGAGACTTCCTACTGCCGAAGCATAAGCAACTGTCTTCATGTCCTCTATCTCCTCAGTCGTCTCAGGAGACAACTCCTTAGATAAAGGTACTCCATGTCTGAAAGGTAATGTACCTCTGTTAGAGTTCTGCATACTGAATCTGGCCAAGACAGTATCTATATATGAAGACTGGGATAAGCACATCATTCTTTTCTCACGATCACGAATGATCTTGATACCAAGAATGTGTCCTGCTTCACCCAAGTCCTTCATATCAAACTGCTTAGACAACCACGCCTTTACGTCCGACAACTCCTTCTTGTTGTTGCCAATAAGAAGTATGTCATCCACGTATAGCACAAGAAACACCACAACGCTTCCACCAATCTTCTTGTATACACAGTGCTCATCCGGACATTGGGTGAATCCATATGACTGGATTACCTCATCAAACCGAATATTCCAAGATCTTGAAGCTTGCTTCAGTCCATAAATGGACCGATTAAGCTTACAAACTAAGTGCTCATGCCCTTTTGCAATGAATCCTTCTGGTTGCTGCATATAGATGT